AGTGGCACGACACACTGAGGACTACGCTTGCGGCTCTTGGGTTTGCGCCTTCTACTGCTGACCCGTCGCTGTTTCTGCGCACCGACACTTCACTGCCGCCGTTCTACATCCTCGTGTACGTCGACGACTTGGTTTTTGCCACTGCTGACACTGAGGCACTCGCTCACGTGAAGTCGGAGCTGCAGAAGAGACACACGTGCACAGACTTGGGTGAGCTGCGCAGCTACCTTGGCTTGCAGATCACCCGGGACCGAGCACGCCGCACCATCACCTTGACTCAGTCACGCATGGTGCAGCAGGTCCTTCAGCGCTTCGGCTTCACCTGGTCTTCAGCACAGGCCACTCCTCTGGCTACAGGTCACACGCTCTCAGCTCCACCTTCGGACGAGTCCGTAGAGCCGAGTGGTCCTTACCCAGAGCTAGTCGGCTGCCTCATGTACCTGATGACTTGCACTCGACCTGACCTCGCGTACCCTCTTGGTCTTCTGGCTCGCTACGTGGCTCCTGGTCGGCACCGACCTGAGCACATGGCTGCTGCTAAGAGGGTACTGCGCTACTTGTGCAGCACATCAGGCATGGGGCTAGTGCTTGGAGGGACGAGCCCAGTTGTCCTCACTGGGCACTCAGACGCTTCTTGGGTTGACGACCTGGCTACTCAGCGGTCGTCACAGGGTTACACCTTGTTGTGAGGCTGAGATCTACGCCACAGCCATGGCTGCACAGGAGTTACGCTGGCTCACCTACCTGCTGACTGACTTGGGAGAGCAGCCTCGTTCTCCTCCAGTGCTGTACGTCGACAACAAGGCCGCCATTGCCTTGTGTGAGGAGCACAGACTGGAGCACAGAACGAAGCACATTGCTCTGCGTTACTTCCTGGCTCGAGAGTTGCAGCAGCGAGGCCAGCTTCGTCTTCGTCACGTGGCCACTCGGGCCAACACTGCTGATATATTCACCAAGGCACTTCCGTCTGGTGATCATCAGCGCTTTTGTACCCTGTTAGGCCTTGTGCCTACGCTTCCACACTTGCTGTAGTTTCTGCTTGTACTGTGATCTATATATATACATGCATGCCTGCTCTTGCTAGGTAGTCATCACTGTACTGTTATTGTTGCATATATATCTCTGCATGTGGACTGGCCTTGTGGCCCTTTGCTTGTGCTCAGAATGTGTGGTGACGTTGAGATCCACCCTGAGCTTGCTTTGCTTCTCTTGACTGGTCGTTTGACCCCTTGTTCTCCCCCACTTTGCCTATGGGGGTGTGTCAAACATATATGCTGGATATTGTCTAGGCTGTAGTGGGGTAGCCCATATGGGGTACAGCCCAATTAGGGTTTACTACTTGTACTCCTGCATGCTGCTAGTTCATTCATTCCTGCTGCTAGATTCTGACACACATGTCATATATTCACATATTACAACATTAATCTAGATAAATTAAATAAAAAAGATTTTCCATCACATTCATACAGTGATATATATATATATATATATGTATCTATATATACATGATATACATGCTAACTTTCAAATGATTTACAATATATTTACATGTGTGATACTCCTCTCACTCTCTCTCTTCTCATAAATAGCAACTCTCTACACCTCTCTGTCTCAAGCAATCTTGTATTGGTTTGGAGAAAGGTACAGGCATGGCAACCCTAGGTTTCCAACCTGCCATGCCTGTACCTTTTTCCAAACCAATACAAGATTGTTTGCGATGGAGAGGTATAGAGAGTTGATATTTATGGGAAGAGAGAGTGAGAGAAGTATCACACAGATAAATCTATTGTAGCTAATTTTGAAAGTTAGCATCTATCTCATATAAATATATAGATACATATATATCACTATATAAATGTGATGGGAAATATTTCTTTATTTATTAGATTGATTGTCAGAATGTGATGGTTGTCTAGCCTGCAGTGGGGTACTCTATAGCGAGTACAGCCCTTCTAGGGTTTGCATATATGTATCCCTATGCTTGTTAGTCAAAACCCTTCTTGCCTGTTTCTCGTTTTGGCCTAGCATTTTGACATGCTATCAGAGCGGGTCGACCCTCCTGGGTCGATCCTGTGGGTGGTCCCACCAGAAGCTTCCGCTGTTGTTTCCTGCTGTTTCCTGCCTGCCGCGCGCTCCGGGCGCGCAGCGATGCGCGGCGGTTTTCTGCCCCGTCACTCGGCGCGTCGCCCCCGGGAGGCGCTGCGACGGGCGACGGGGACCCGCGCGTCGCCCCCCGTCGCCCGTCGTGGCCTGCGCGCGGCCCGTACAGCCGGCGCGCGGCCCGTACGGGCTGCGCCAGGCCCGCGCGCGGCCCGTACGGGCTGCGCCAGGCCCGCGCGCGGCCCGTACGGGCTGCGCCAGGCCCGCGCGCGGCCCGTACGGGAAGCGCCAGGCCCGCGCGCGGCTCGGGCCGCCTGCGCGCGGTTCGGGCGGCTATGCCAGGCCCGTGGGCGGCCCGTTCCTCGCTGCCCCTGCCCTCCCCACTGTCCCCCGTGCTTCTACCGGCGCCTCACCCCTCCTACAGCCCGTTCTCCTGAATTAGGGTTTGGGGGTGAGGGGTATGGGGGTGAAGCCACTGAGTGCCGTTCCCCTCCTCCTCCTCCTTCTCCGTCTCCCACTGCTGCAGCTGCCGCTGAGGGGGGTGGGTGTGTGGGAGCCGAGGGAGTGGCGCTAGGGGGTGTAGTGTGAGCGGTGCTAGGGGAACAGCAGGGGGTGTGTAAAAAGGGGGTGGGACAGCTGGGGGAAGTTGAGAGGAGGCCGTCGACTTGTCGTCCGCAGCGCCTGAAGTCCAGGGAGCCACGACCCCCTGTGGCCTGAGTAGTCCGGGGCTCTGCGCCCGGTAGCTACAGTGTGTGCACTCCTGGGAGCACAGCGAGCCAGCTGCGACCCCCTGTCGCCGTGTAGTCCGGGTTTAGCCTGGTAGCGTCAGTGCGGCGTACTCCTGCTGCCTGTGTGTCTGCAGCTTCAGCCGTCGCCTCTCATCTTCTTGCTCCCACAGTTTCTCCTCCTCCTCACTTGCCCTCTGTGATAGCCTCTAGCTTTGCTTATAATTGTGAACTATTGCTCTGTCTGCTTGTTATGTTGATTGTACCCCACTTTGACTATGGGGGTGTGTCAGAATGTGATGGTTGTCTAGCCTGCAGTGGGGTACTCTATAGCGAGTACAGCCCTTCTAGGGTTTGCATATATGTATCCCTATGCTTGTTAGTCAAAACCCTTCTTGCCTGTTTCTCGTTTTGGCCTAGCATTTTGACATTGATGTTGTAATATGTGAAGATACTTTCTTAGAAAATGACATGTGTGTTGTAAACGCATTCTGTTTTTGGATTTCAACTAAAAGCATGTTTCCATTTATCAATCTAAACGTTACATTTATGACTAGTTGTGTCATGTGCTAAATGGTTTTCCAGTTTAAGTGAATATCTTATGCGTTTTCCTACATACTGTTCTCGATTGGTGGGGAACCTCTCACAATCTCGCTCAAACTGTGTAATGCGTTTTACAGCTCCGTCATCCCTACTTAACGAAATCCGTCGGGGCCAGTTTGATAGGTGTGACCTGGCGCCTAGGCCAGGCCCGAACTGCCCTGGCAGGTCTGTGCGCTGCTTCGGGCGTACATTGTAGGGGCGCGACTCACCCGGCCCTAAATTGGCCACTTCTCTGCTGTTTTCCGGCCCGAATATGATCTTTGCCCGTCCCTCATCCACGTACAGTACGTTCTGGCATGACTACACCGCTTTCGACCGAAGCGCAACATACAGAACCGTGGTGCTAACACGCAGATGCCATTGCAGGTCCTGAGAATCTTGACTGGTGCGGATGAGCGAATCCATGCGAGCGACCCATGCCCATGCGATCCTTGCTCGTTCTTTGGCGCATGGCCGCACAGGCACCCCATGCCGCAGAAGTTAGGGCGTGTGAGGTCGGTTTTGAAGTTCAAAATAAAGTGCGAACTTTGGGTGGTTACCCGTTTCGCCAATATCGCATGGAGCTATTAGCGAAAATTCGTCAACTTTGGGTTTGGCAACATGCGAACTGCAAACTTGAACAAGACTCGAGTTTTAGTTGTGAACGTGCTTCGGCATGTTCACATTCACGTGTGTGATTTCCCGCACGTTCAGTCATCGGACGAAACGTGCGAGCGACTCACGAGTAGCAACAGTGGCACAACGAACTCACCACAGCCTTCGTGTACTGAATAGAGGCCACGTGGCGAGAATCGTCATGTTTGGGGAATGACGAGAGCTCCAGGTGGGCAACCTCTGATATTTGTACCCCAGTGTTGAAGGTGAGCTGGAGGTCTAGGCTATCCGAAACCAAGGCGCACGTCGGCCGCGTGGCGCACTGTCAAGACGTCTGAACCGGGTAACCTACGTTGTAGAAATGCGGCTCGGTGCGATTTTACAAGTTCTAAAACGCGCACTAGACCTTGTGGTCCAGATGTGCGAACCCCGATACAAAGGAAGTCGAGATTGATTCGACTTATGTTCACTTCGCACAACTCGCCCAAAAAATGTAAACTTTCACGAATTTCACGGATCACACGCGCCCTTAGCATCCATGTTCTACCCCACACTATGCTCCCAAGCGCAGCGGCCTTGCCGAACTCATCATAGTGTGCGCGTTACTCCTTGTTGCGAAGAGGGAATTATTCGCCTCTGCCCGGTTCGTTCCTCCATCGACATTCTTAGGGTTCGCTGCGCTGCGAGATCTACTTACGACGCGACGAGCCTCGTGGCTTTTCGTGTTTTCCTCGTTATTACGTGCTCCCTGTCGACGTAGACCCTTCCCGATCAACTCTTCTGCTTTCCCGCTTTTAAGCGCCAGATCCGGCGCATTCCGCCTGCCGTCGCTTGCACGCGGATCGCGCTCTCCCGAACCGACATTGGCGCGCTTACTCGTTCTTAAGCCACCGCGCCGCCATGGCCAGCAGTGGCGGCGGCGGGGGGAGCGGCGGGAGCGGCGGCGGCAGTGCGCGGTCCGTGCGGGAGCTGAAGAGCATGTTTGGCAAGGCCGCCGCCGCGCCGTCCGCCGCTGCTTACGTCAGCAAGCTGCAGGCTGTCACGGCTAGGGACCAGCCGTCTGGACAAGGCGGCGGAAAACAGGCGGAGGATTCGCCGCTTTCCGCCGCGCAGCAGGCGCTCCGCTCCCCCTCCCCGCTAGCGCTTCCCGTCCAGCGGGACAAGGGGAATCCGCCCAGCGGCGCACTTCCGCCGAACGCGCGTTCCGCCTCTCCTTCCCCCGTCCCCGCGCGCACCATTCTCACCACCCCCGGGCAGGCCGCGCCCCGCCCTTCCCATTCCGCGCAACCTGACGTCAGCAAGGCTACAACGGGTGCAGACGAGCGGGGAAGCAGCGGAGGGGCAGGGGGGAGAGAGCAGGGGACGGCGAGTCATGCGACTGTGAGCCACGCGCAGGTGAGACCATGAACGGCTGCTGAGACAATGCTGACTGAATCTGGGATGAGGAGGCGGGGATGGTGCCACTTAGTCTCCCTGCCCATTCCGCCTGACGGCCACTTTTTAAATCCTCTTCTTTACCGCTCCCCCGCGCCACGCGCCCACCTCCCCCGCTTTCCAGTTGACCGCGGAGCAGGCGGGGCGGCTGAAGCCCCGCCTCCCGCCCCTTCCCGCCACCAGCTGAGCGCCTCCCACCTCCCGCCCCTTCCCGCCACCAGCTGAGCGCCTCCCACCTCCCGCCCCTTCCCGCCACCAGCTGAGCGCGGAGCAGGCGGGGCGGCTGAAGCAGGTGGAGGAGAGCCTAGAGGCGACCAATCACGAGCTGCCCTTCCAGCTCAACACTCTTCTTGACTTTTTCCCCTTCCCCCTTCCCCCTTCCCCCTTCCCCCTTCTCCCTTCCCCCCACCTCCCGCCCCTTCCCGCCACCAGCTGAGTGCGGAGCAGGCGGGGCGGTTGAAGCAGGTGGAGGAGAGCCTGGAGGCGACCAACTACGAGCTGGCGGCGCTGCGGGCGAAGCACAACGAGAAGACGGCGCGGCTCAAGACGCTGCAGGAGAGCAACGTGACTCTCGAACACAAGGCCAAGGGGCTGCAGGTGAGGTGCCACGTAGCGTACCACATGGCGGGCTGCAGAAGAGCCACGTGGCTTCTGGGGGTAGTGTTTTTCTGGAGTGCTTGCCCCCCTCCCTCCAACCCACCTGCTCCACACGGCACACTCTGCTCCCATCCACCCACCCACCTTGACAGGCAACCCTAACAGCTGCAGAAGCAGAGATTGCTTGCTTCGAGGAGGAGAAGGAGGCACTGAGGCGGCTGGTGGAGGAGGAGGAAGCGGGGAAGTGCTCGCTCGTGAGGCGGCGCCCCGGAAACCTGCATCCACACTCTACCCCCATCGTCCCACCCCCCCCTCAGGCAACACTAATGGCGGCAGAGGCGGAAATTGCTCGATTCGAGGAGGAGAAGGAGGCGTTGAGGCGACGGGTGGAGGAGGAGGAAGCAGGGAAATGTTTATGGTGCCCCTCAATATCTGTATTTACACTCTCTCTCCCCCTCATGCCAGGCAACTCTGACAGCTGCAGAAGCAGAGATCGCTCGCTTCGAGGAGGAAAAGGAGGCGCTGCGGCGGCGGGTGGAGGAGGAGGAGGCGGGGAAGCGAGAGGAAGCCGTGCGGAGCGCCTTGGAGCGACAGCAGGAGGAGCGAATCGCTCCCCTGCAGTCCGCACTACAGACGCTGGATGCTGCCCATGAGGGCGCCATGAAAGAGCTTGTTTTGCTAAGAGAGTCTTTTAAAGCGTCGGTGGAAGAGGGTAAGTATTTAAGAGCTAGGCAGGCGGAGGGGGAGGTGCAAGTGGTTGAGCTTAGGGGAATGCAGGAGGTGGTTTTGGGGGATTTGGAATCGCTGAGAGGTCGGTATGAGAGTGTGTGTAAGGAGCTTGAGGAGGAGAAGGAGGGGAGGGAGAAGGAGAGGAAGGAAGGGAAGGAGGCGAGGGAGAGAGCTGAGAGGTTGGAGATGGAAAAAGCGAAGTGGGAGGGGAGGATGGCGGAAGAGAAGAGGATGAGGGAGGAATCGGAGGGGGAGGTGGAGAGGGAGAGGAGGGAGAGGGCAGAGTTAGAGGGTAGGCTGGAGGCAGTACGAGAGGAGAGAGAGGCAGAGAGGAAGGCGAGGGAGGAGGCGCAGGGCGTGTGTGAGGGATTGAAGAGGGATGTAGAGCGGTTGGAGGTAGAGGTGGGGGCGTTGAAAGCAGGGAGGGACGAGGCAGGGAGGTTGCTAGCAGGGGCAGAGGCGGAGAGGGAGGAAGAGGCGAAAATGGTTGAAAGAGTGAGGGAGGAGAAGGAAGAGAAGGAGAAACAGCTGGGAGAGCTGAGAGAGGAGCATGGGAGGGTGCAGGGGGAATTGGAGGCACTGAGGGTGCAGTATAGGAGCAAGGAGGCTGCGTTTGATACGCTTGTGGCAAGCCATGGTGCCATGGGTGCTGCTGTAGAGGCTATGAGAGGCGAGATGGAGGAGAAGGCTCGGCAGGTGGAGGCCTCTGCCAAGGCTGCGGACGAGGCTCGGCAGCAGATGGTGGAGGGTCGGGAGGAGCTTGGGAAGGTGCAGGGGGAACTGGAGAAGGTGGTATGTGAGGTGGAGAGAGTGAGGGAGGAGGTGAGGGAGAGGGAGAAGGAGATGGGGGAGATGAGGGAGAGGTATGAGAGGGAGATGGCAGAGAGGGAGGAGGAGATGGAGAGACAGATGGGTGCTTTGAGGAGTGAGTTGGAGGAGAGTAGGAAGAAGAGAGAGGAGGCTGAGACACGGGAGGGGGAATTGCGAAAGGCAAGGGAAGAGGTGGAGAGGGCGAGGGAGAATGAGGAGATAGAGAGGAGGAAAGCAGAAGAGGAGGTGAGGAGGTTGGAGGAGGAGGTGGGGAGGGAGAGGGAGGAGCGGAGGAGTGAGGTGGAGGGATTGAGGGAGGCACAGGAGCAGTTGGAGGAGAGGAGGAGGGAGGCTGAGGGTGAGGCGAAGAGGATGAGTGAGGAGGTTGAGAGGGTGAGAAGGGAGTGTGAGGAGGCGAGGAAAGAGGGTGAGGATAGGAGGAAGGAAGTGGAGGAGAAGTGTGAGGAGGTGAGGGTGTTGAAGAGTGAAATGGAGGAGTTAAAAAGAGAGATGAAGGGATTGAGGGAGAAAGTGGAGGAGAGGGAGAGGGAGTTGGAGCGAGTGAGGGGGGAACTGGAGGCAGTGAGAGGAGAGAGGGAAGAGGGGAGGAAGAGAGAGGAGGAGCTGAGAGGACAGCTGGAAGCAGCAAAGGTGGAAGCTTCCAGGAAGGAGGCGGAGCTGCTGGTGCGAGTGGAAGAGGCAGGGAAGGGGAGAGAGGCGGCAGAGAGGGCTGGGGAGGAGAGGGGGCGGGAGAGGGATGAGATGAAGGAGGCTCTGTGGGTGGAGAAGGGGAAGGTGGAGGTGGGGGAGGAGAGAGTGAGGGGGTTAGAGAGGGAGATGGAGGAGGTGAGGAAGGGGAGGGAAGAGATGGTCGAGAGGGTGGGGCAGCTGGAGAAGCGATTGGAGGAGGCTGGTGCTGAGCTGGCAGCGGCGCAGGCTGATGTGGCGAAGCACGTGGATGAGGCGGCAAGGCTGAAGGGTGAGGTGGATTCGAAGGGGGTTGAGCTTGATGGGATAAGGAAAGAGTTGGAGAGGGAGAGAGAGCAGCACAGAGAGACACGGGAAGGCCTGGAGGGGGTAAGAAAAGAGCAGAGGGAGGCAAGTGAGGAAGCGGCAAGGCTCAAAGAGCAGCTTGCAGGGATTGGGGGCGAGAAGGAGGTTTTAGGTAACGCACATGCGAAGCTAGAGGAGGAGGTGAAGGAATTGCGTGGAAAGTTGGAGGAGTTGGTGAAGCAGAGGGAGGAGGAGAGGGTTAAGCATGCCGGTGTGGTGGTGCGGTTGGAAGGGGTGCAGAGGGATGTGGAGGAGGCGAGAGGGAGAGAGGAGGAGAGGAAGAGTGAGGTGGAAAGGTTGCAAGAGAGAGTGAGTGAGGCAGAGAGGGAGGTGCTGGAATGGAAGGGGAAGTGTGCTGAGCTGGAAGAGGGGACGAGCCAGCTCAGCGCCAAGCTGGCAAAGGTAGAGGCTGAGCTGGCAGCATCGCTGGCGGCTGCTCAAGTGGCGGCTGCAGAGGTGGCAGGGGTGAGGGACAAGGTACGGCTGGCTCGGGCCGAGGCTGACCAGCTTCGGGAAGAAGTGGCTCGGCAGACAGCCGAGGCTGAGGGTCGGGAAGAGGCGCGGAGGATGTGGGAGGAGAAGCATAGGGAGGCGGTGGCTGAAGGGGAGGTGAGGAAGCAGGACGCGGAGAAGGCAGCTGCTGACGTGGATAAGATGAAATCTGAGCTGGCGGTGGTGATGGGTGAGGTGGCAGTTGTGTCAGCGTCGCTGTCGGCTGCAAAGGCTGAGAGAGAAGCAGCGAGAAAGAAGCAGGAGGAGGCGGAAAGGGAGGTGCAAGTGGTGCAGGTGCTACTGAGAGATGCACTGAGGGAATTGGAGGAGGCGAAACGAGGGGTGGTGGAGGCTAGGAGTGTGGGGGACGGGGAGAAGGGCAGAGCAGAGGTAGCAATGAGGCAAGCTGCAGAGGCGTGGGAGGAGATGGGGCGGTGGAAGGGAGAGGCAGAGCGGAGCAAAGCAGATGTTGAGTTGCTAGAGAGGGAGGTGAAAGGGAGGGAGGGGCGGATTGAGGAGCTTAGGAAGGATGTGAGAGAGAGGGAGAGTGAGGTGGAGGTGTTACGGGAGGAGGTGGAGAGAGGGAGAAAGGAGATGGAGGAAGTGAGTGTGAGAGAGGAGGAGTTGGCAGCGACGGTGAATAGGGTGATTGGGGAGGAGCAGGGGAAGGTGGCTGCAGCTGAGGAGAGAGTGAGGGAGGTGGAAGGGGAGAAAGAGAAGATGGAGGAGAGAGTAAGGGAGGCTGTTGGGGAGAGGGAGAAGCTTGAGGAGAGAGTGAGGGAGGTGGAGGGGGAAGTGGAGAGGGTGAGGGGGGAGAGGGTGAGGATGGAGGAGGAAATGGTGAATGTGAGAGAGAGGGCCGGGGAGGCAGAGAAGGAAGTGGAAGGGTTGACAAAGGAGAGGGAGGAACAGAGGAAAGAGGTTGACGAGTTGAAGGACAACCAGGCAACGCTCCGTGCTGAGCTGGCTTCTGTCCGTTCCGAGCTGGAAAGCCGGCATGCTGAGCTGGAAAAGGTGCGGTCTGAGCTGGCAGCAGCAACCGGAGATTTAGAGAAGGAAAAGGCAGCAGGGGCAGTGGCAGCAGCAGAAATGGAGGGACTCAGATCCCTGCATGCTCTGCTGCAGGAGGAGCACGGGCGAATGGTATCAGAGCAGGATCGGCTGGTGGGGGCGTATGAGAGGGAGGTGCAGGAGAAGGACGAGGTGAAAGCAGAGAAAGCAGCGCTGGTTGCTAAAGTTGCCGAGGCAGAGGTCCGGGCCGAAGCTGAGAAGGAGGGACGGGCTCGGGTGGCTGCCGAGGCTGAGGAGGCTCGGGAAAAGATTAAGGCTGAAGTGGAGCAGGCTCGGCAGGAGCTGGTTCGGAGGGAGGAGGAAGTGCGAGTGTTGAGGCAGCAAAAGAATGAGGAGGTTGAAGGGTTGAAGCAGCAGCAGCAGGAGCAGCAGCAAAAGCAGCAGCAGGAGCAGGAGAAAGAGATTCAAGCGTTGAAAAAGGAGGTGGAGGAGTTGAAGCAGCAGCAGGCTGTGGGTGTGGCGGATGCACACACGTGGAAGAAAGCTACTGAAGTGCAAGCCGCTGATCTGGCAACAGTCAAGGCTGAGCTGGAAACTGCCCACGCTGAGCTGGCCGAAATGAAGATTGAGTGCGAGAGTAAAGGGCGTGAGCTTGCAGCTGCTGCTGACGAGGCAAAGGCGAAAGAAAAAGCTGTGGACGAGAAAGAGGAAATATGCAGAAAGCTGACAAATGAGCTGGAATCGCTAAAAGCTGAGCTGGAAAGTCGTAGCGCTGAGCTGGCGGCGCTGACGGTGAAGGACGAAGGAATAGCAGCGGCGGTGAGGGAGCAGATTCAGGCTCGGAGCGAGGCAGAGGGGCAGGTAAGAGAAGCTCAAAAGGAGGTGCAGCTGGTGCAGGCTCAGCTGGGGGAGGTGCGATCTGAGTGTGAAGGGCTGAGGGATGCAAAGGAGAGGCTTGAAAGGGAGGTGGAGGAGGGGAGGAGAGCGATTGGTGAGAAGGAAAAGGAGGCTGAGAGGATGGTGGGAGAGGTGGAGAGAGGGAGGGCCGAGGCTGCAAAGGCGGAGGGAAGAGCAGAGGCACTGCAAGGAATGGTGGCTGCTCTGACAGTAGAGCTAGGCGCTCTAAGGAAGGAGCTTCAGGAGGAACGGGAAAAGGCATCTGATCGTGTTGCTGCTGCCACTGCTGCTGCTTCTGCTGACGTGGCGTCCGCTGCTGCGGTGTCAGAGTCGCTGCGTGCCAGGCTGGCAGCGGCAGAGGAGAGAGAGAAGGAGCTGGAGCGGAGGGTGGAGGAGAGAGAGCAGCAGCTGGTGCGGGGAGTGGGGGAGGGGGAGGCGAGGGCAGGAGCGGTGGTGAGAGCAGCGGAGGAGAGAGCAAAGGAGGTGCAGAGGCAGTTGAGAGAGGAGCAGGCGAAGGTGGTGGCAGCGGTGGCAGAGGCGGAAGCAGCTGCTGCTGAGGTGGCGAGCCTGAAAACGGAGATGGGGGAAGTGAGAGCAGCGTTGGGAGCAGCAGAGGGTGAAGTAGAGAAGTTGCGAGGCGAGGTGGAGGGAGCACAGGGCGAAGCAGCGGATGCAAAAGCACAGGCAGCAGCAGCACAGAAGGAAGCAGAGAGCATGAGGGCCACAGTGCGAAGCACGGAGCAGGAAGTGGCTGCAGCGAACACCGATGCGGAGCAGCTGAGGGAGGCACTGGGGGAGGTGCAGCGGCAGCTGCGAGTGGTAACACGAGTGAAGGAGGCACTGGATGGTGAGGTGCGCAAGTGGAGAGAGGAGGCGGTGCTGCGGCAGAAGGTGGAGAGTTCAGAGGAGGGTGGGCGGGCTGAGCGGCGCGTGATTGGGCTGTGGAGGGGCGCTTCCGAGGGCGCTCATCAGCAGCAGCAGCAGGGGGGGTTGCAGCAGGGGGGGTTGCAGGGGCAGGGAAGGCAGCAGGGACAGGGGAGGCTGGCGTCGAGTATGTCAGTTGACAACAAGCTGTTGTGGCCTTGGGCTTGGGCTTGCCCACCCATCACATAGCACCCTTGCACCCCCTCTCCTTCCTGCTGAACCTGCTGCTGCTGCTGCTGCTGCTGCGGGTGCTGCTGCTGGCGCTGGTGTTGCTGGCGCCACCATTGCCAGCGGTGCTGCCCCTGCCGCCGCACCTGCAGCAGCAGCAGGGTCCCCAGCAACAACTCTCCCCCCACGGCCACACACTCCAGCCTCCGCCCCTCCCAAGGTCTCCCATGCCTCTCACCCCGTGCCCCTGCTGGCCCTGCCTGCCCAAGTGGGCGCCTCCCCCAGTAGCACCGCCCCTGGAGTGTCCCACGCCGCTCCACCTGCTGCTGATGGCACCGCAGCAGAAGGCGGCTTTAATGCAGACCGTCTTGCTCCTGAGGGGCTCCCTGCACCAGCACCTGCCCAGGACCAGGGTCTCGTGGTGCGTGAGGGTGACGTGATTGGTGGAGGCACTTTGGCAGCTGCTGCTTCGTCCGGTTCGCCCGCTGCTGCTGGTTCCGTGCCTGCATTGCCAGTCACCCCTGCCACTGCGCCAGGCTCTCACACCATCCCTCACTCAGCCACATCCTCTCGCACTGGCTCCCACACCCCCACGCTTGGTTTCTCTCATTTCATTCATCGCTCCAAGACTGATACTGCACGGGCGCGCCCCTCATCCGCCGATTTCACCTCCGCAGTCAAAGCTGTCCGCCTAGTTTCCGCGTTTCGCGGCCCTGGCACAGGCAATGCCAGCCCTGCAGCCCAGGGAAGCCCGAGCCGGAGCCGTAGGCCCGGAAGCCCTGGTTCGGCAACTGCAGGGCCGAAGGCGAGTGGTGGTGGGGGCGGGACGCTGAAAAGGTTTGGCACAGGGATGGTGGGGCGGTGGAGGGGTGGAAGTCAGAGTGCAGTTGGCAGCACCGGAGGCAGTGGTGTGGAATCTCAGGCTGAGCTGGGGGAGGTTCAGCCTGCACCTGCGCCTCGCATACAGAGTGATGCGCACTAGGCTTGATGCTGGCATATCAGCATCTTGTTAGGAAATGGGACCGTAGTTAGGTTGTATTGGTTTGCCTTGATTTGTGTTGTGACTGTTTGTAGTGCGGGCGTAGTGATAAGGAGAGCGTTGATTGTAATTAGGTATTGTAGTATTTATTTAGATCATGATTACGGTTTCCCAGCAGGGCTGTCGATTGGTTCCAGGCCAACACTTGAGAGTCTGAGGTGCCCGTATTTCAGCCCTGAAATCTCCGGGAAGTGGCATTTTCCGAGCCTTTAAGCGTCCGGGAAAGCACCCAACCAAAAACTTAAATTCAGGGCTACACTACTACAATCAGGGAAAACTCTACATAACGAAAACTAATAAGGCAGAGTTAATTTTGAAGTGCTATCTACCTATCTACTTTCTCAACACTAATAACTAAGTGGCAGGCTTGCGGCGCTTCTCCCCGTCGAAGATCTGGTACACACCTGCCCAATCCACGTCGTAATCATGAAGTTTTTTGAAAGTGTGTAACACTTTCTAAAAATGTGTATTTTGAAAGCGAAGCTGCTTGTAATGCAGCAATGGCAACGGCGAAGTGCTAGACGCTCTTCGCCAACTATATAGCAGGGGGTGGAGGCCATTTGGCCTCCACCCACGTCTTCGTTTGAAATTTTAAAGGTCTTATTTCATTCTCGTCCGACGACTTGGCGCTTTCTCTTTTCCCTCAGTTTCTCACTTCTCTCATAAAATAGTAGGCATTAACTCGATTGACATAGCACAACACGTGTTTCAGAAATTGTCGCGGGTACACCCGTCCGCACAATAGGCGCTCTTGTTGGGGCTAATAAAGCGACAGCGCCACTGGCGCACGTGGCGACAAAATCGCCACAGGCGCGCGTGGCGACGAAACCGCCACAGGCGCGCGTGACGACGACCTCGCCACAGGCGCGCGTGGCGAAATCGTCAGTGGCGCATGTGGCGTCAAAATCGCCAGCGGCGCAAGTGGCGCCAGTGGCGCTCATGGCGACGAAGTGGTCAAAATCGCCACTGGTGCACGTGGCTACGAAATTGCCAGTGACGTGCAATCACCCAGGGGCGCGTCCAGCAAAAGTCGGCACCAGCACGCATGATGGCGAAATCTGAGGCAAACTGGCATGAGAGATGCTCTTCTGTTGCTGAAATTTGTCAACGGATAACTTATTACCATGCATGTTTCCACCTTTTCTTCGTACGTATCTTCGATATTTGTTTGTCTTCATTTTTCTCGTGTTATTTATTATTTTCTGGTCGCAGTAAATCGGTGCGAGGCAACTACCATAGCTTTGGGTCGCCGTGAAAAACCTCGGCGAAGAAGGACTACGGCAAACATTTGGCACAACTCCATGCGCTCCCGTGTGGTGCTGGCCAGCGAGCTCCCCAGGGGGGAGGAGGACCGGTGGGTCCTGTGCGGTGCTGGCCAGCGAGCTCCCCAGGGGGGAGGAGGACCGGTGGGTCCTGTGCGGTGCTGGCCAGCGAGCTCCCCAGGGGGGAGGAGGACCGGTGGGTCCTGTGCGGTGCTGGCCAGCGAGCTCCCCAGGGGGGAGGAGGACCGGTGGGTCCTGTGCGGTGCTGGCCAGCGAGCTCCCCAGGGGGGAGGAGGACCGGTGGGTCCTGTGCGGTGCTGGCCAGCGAGCTCCCCAGGGGGGAGGAGGACCGGTGGGTCCTGTGCGGTGCTGGCCAGCGAGCTCCCCAGGGGGGAGGAGGACCGGTGGGTCCTGTGCGGTGCTGGCCAGCGAGCTCCCCAGGGGGGAGGAGGACCGGTGGGTCCTGTGCGGTGCTGGCCAGCGAGCTCCCCAGGGGGGAGGAGGACCGGTGGGTCCTGTGCGGTGCTGGCCAGCGAGCTCCCCAGGGGGGAGGAGGACCGGTGGGTCCTGTGCGGTGCTGGCCAGCGAGCTCCCCAGGGGGGAGGAGGACCGGTTGCTCCTGTGCGGTGCTGGCCAGCGAGCTCCCCAGGGGGGAGGAGGACCGGTGGGTCCTGTGCGGTGCTGGCCAGCGAGCTCCCCAGGGGGGAGGAGGACCGGTGGGTCCTGTGCGGTGCTGGCCAGCGAGCTCCCCAGGGGGGAGGAGGACCGGTGGGTCCTGTGCGGTGCTGGCCAGCGAGCTCCCCAGGGGGGAGGAGGACCGGTGGGTCCTGTGCGGTGCTGGCCAGCGAGCTCCCCAGGGGGGAGGAGGACCGGTGGGTCCTGTGCGGTGCTGGCCAGCGAGCTCCCCAGGGGGGAGGAGGACCGGTGGGTCCTGTGCGGTGCTGGCCAGCGAGCTCCCCAGGGGGGAGGAGGACCGGTGGGTCCTGTGCGGTGCTGGCCAGCGAGCTCCCCAGGGGGGAGGAGGACCGGTGGGTCCTGTGCGGTGCTGGCCAGCGAGCTCCCCAGGGGGGAGGAGGACCGGTGGGTCCCTGTCTGGCCTGTGGGCCATTTGTAGGATAGGTTCATGGTTGTGCAATTTAGTTATACTTCTCAAATACCTTAGGCTTTGAAAGCCTTAAAGTGCAAGGTTCGGATGCGGTCAAACTTGAGTTGGTTGATTGAAAAATCTTGTGGTGAGTTTGAAATGGTGCACAACTCTAGCGGTTAGAAAAAAAAAAAAAAAAAAAAAAAAAAGCACACATACACACGCCGGCAGATTTACCGTACCCGGACACAAGGGTTGGGCTCCTACAAGCATCGCATCCATCACACACAGAACACCAACGCTCGCTGCCCGAGTCCTCCCATACTGCTTGCAAGTTCGTGTCCGAAGCTCACGTGTCAGCCAACTTTCATAAAGCAACATTACTGTGCTACACTCACTTGGGCAACACTCCATCCAAGGCAACAGCAGTGAATACAGCATCACCATCAACATTGGTGCCAGCCTCTCCTTCGTGCGTGTTTGGAACTCCACCGACGTCATCTCATAAGCCATAAACAACCTTTACCATCTCGTCAGCATGACACCGTCTCATGTCTCAGAAGACCCATTTGAAACGAAGCACGTTGCCATTGCAAACACAAGAAAGCAAGCTTTCTAAATATGAAGTTTTTTTGAAAGTGTGTAACACTTTCTAAAAATGTGTATTTTGAAAGCGAAGCTGCTTGTAATGCAGCAATGGCAACGGCGAAGTGCTAGACGCTCTTCGCCAACTATATAGCAGGGGGTGGAGGCCATTTGGCCTCCACCCACGTCTTCGTTTGAAATTTCAAAGGTCTTATTTCCCACCCACCCACCCTAGCAAAAATTGCATGTTGCAATTTGTAATGTAGGTGCCATATATAAAGTCGGGACGAGAATGTTGTAATGCTCATTTGAAACGAAGATCGTTGTCATTGCAAACACAAGAAAGCAAGCTTTCTAAATCAGCATTTTCACGGTAGGATGGGATAGGGTGAGATGGGATGGAATGGAAAGGGGAAAACGGGAAGGGAGAGGGTTGGGGGGGGGGGTGGGTAGGAGGGGCTGTGAAAGTTTCCGGGTAAGGCCAGAAACATCCGCGGGGAATCAGGGAAACCCTCCAAGAGGACCCTGTAAAAGCTCCTCGTCGCTCTATTCTCGCCGCCGCCTTGATGGATGGATGGGCTGCCAGCAAGGCTCGGGCGAGGACGGCAGCAGCAAGTGCAAACGTGCTGCCGTCCCTCATTCCCAAGCCACGGTGCTGCAGGAATGCAACTCCTGCAGTGGAGGCTTCTTCACGGGCTGCTGATCCTGTGGTAACCCGTGCTGTAGTCATAGCAAGCAGCAGCACAGGCGAGCAGGAGGGGAGGAGGAATGGCAGTGTGGTATGCAGAGGGAGGCGGGCTATCAGGGTGAGCAAGGCAGCGGTGTCGACTTCAAGGGCCGCCGATGGTGCTCAGGTAACCATTCCTGTAATGGCAGCAAGCAGCAGCACAAGGCAGCAGCAGGAGAGGAGGAATGGCGGTGCGGAATGCGGAGGGAGGCGACCCTCCAGGGCGAGTAAGGCAGCAGCAGTAGCAGCAAGGCCTCCTTGGAGGCCGTGAGGGCCGCAGTGTGAGGTGGAGAGTGCAACAGTGGGGGTTGATTGGAGCGAGCAGAGAGCAGCCAAGTACAGCTGGGGAAGGCACGGGGTGGTGGACAGTGGGGAGGAAGGCGGCAACACTTTTTGCACCCTGCTGGTCAGGGTGTTGTAGCAACTGGATGGTGGATTGGAGCATGGAGGCTGGATTGTGTGAGGGACTTGGATGACTGAAGCTGCTCACGTGCTCTCCAATGGGTCAGAGGCTGGGCCATGTGATGACCGAGGCTTGTCATGGGATGCTGCTGCTGGTAGTGTGCTGCTTACGGTAGTTAGCTGAGTTATTATAATGTATTTATCCATGCTATTTATATTTCGTGTTTAGTTGTAAACCTAGTTTGCCTCAACACGGACATGGAACAAGTTCAATTATCAAAGGCAGCACCGATGAATAAGCCCGCCTGCCAACACAGTATAGTGGAACAACCACTTCAACACATTATAATAACCAAGGAACATCACACTATACGTAAGGCATTCGAACAGTCTTTCCAAAGTTTCATCTAGCATGCATCGAGCTGCACCAGCCGAGGTTTGTGCATGAGATGCTATAGGCATCACAATTCTGGTAAGAGCCACGCTACGCTAGCATGTCAGGTCAGTCAGGGTACACCACCTTTCTCTCCTTGTCATAAATCATTGCGCCTCATTTTTTGCCTGAACCTCCCCTCCTCGTTCCTTCCCCCCATGGAGGTGGTTGCACGGCCGCAGCGCTGCCATGCTGCTGCTGCCTCCCCCTGTGCTCCGCACCACTTGCAGCTTCGCCGCCCGCATGTCCGCCAGCATGATTGGCCGCAGCCGTAACACGCGGTTACCACCACCGCCACTACCACTGATGCAGCTTCCACTGCCACCAGAATCTCCGGTTACTCCTGACAGGCCTGCACCACCTTCGCATTCCTCCAGTGCTGCGATCTGCTCAACCTCTCGCCCCTTTACAGCACCACCACCAATGGCACAACCCTTCACCACCTTCTGCCCGGAAAAAATCATGGGCAGCAGTAACCATGTGACAACGTGAGAGAATTGAGACAACACGATACAACAAACAACCGGGACACAATGAGTGACAAGGGCATGACAGAGAATGACAAATTAGTGTGACAATGCGTGAATGCGTGACTGAGATAACGGCCCACGTGACACTGAGAGAATGTGAGACAATTCAACACAATGTGTGACATTCCGTGACAATGGGTGAAAGATGCGTAACAATTCATGACACTCAGTGACAACGGGTTGAAATGAGGAACGAAGTGTGACGCTCTGTGACAATGGGTAAACAATGCGTAAAAAACAGTGGAAATATGTGACAATGGGTAAACAATGTGCAACAAACTGTGAAAATATGTGACAATGGGTAAACAATGCGTAACAAACGGTGGAAATATGTGACAATGGGTAAACAATGTGCAACAAATAGTGGAAATATGTGACACTGGGTAAACAATGTGTAACAAACAGTGAAAATATGCGACACTCTACGACAGTTGACAATGCGAAACAGTGTGTATGTGTGTGAGGGAATGCAAGCCAAACGCATAACTTAAGGCAATACCTCCATCGTGTAGGCCTGCCTGAAGGCACGTTGTAATGATAACCCATCAGTTCCAACCAGGTTAACATGAGTGGAAAGAACCAAACAGCATCAAAATGCAGTGAGTTGCAGCAGCTGAAACTGCAGCAAGCATGGTACGAGCAAGCATGGTACGAGCAAGCATGGTACGAGCAAGCATGGTACGAGCAAGCATGGTACGAGCAAGCATGGTACGAGCAAGCATGGTACGAGCAAGCATGGTACGAGCAAGCATGGTACGAGCAAGCATGGTACGAGCAAGCATGGTACGAGCAAGCATGGTACGAGCAAGCATGGTACGAGCAAGCATGGTACGAGCAAGCATGGTACGAGCAAGCATGGTACGAGCAAGCATGGTACGAGCAAGCATGGTACGAGCAAGCTGTTAGTGTTAGTCTTCAATCTCACAATTTGTACTTTGTATTTTCTATATCCTAGAGTAGTGTAGTTTGCACATTGTGTTTGGTTGGGTGTACACCTACATCCCAACCAAACCCAAATGTAATCTCCAACCAATCTCCAACCCACCAATTGGAGATTGCCTTGGGATTACCCCCAATCCCTAGAGATTGCCCCCGATTCCCTTCCCCATCCTTTTCCTACCCCTCTTGGATGTACTTAAAGAGCTTCAAGCTCATTACTAATGCATCGCTTCTAAGCCTATTTCTGACATGGTATCAGAGCCCTTCAACCGCATACGCGGATCGTGATCTTCTTACCTCTGCGGATACTCGTCCCGCAAACCTCGGCGAAGCCATCGTCAACCTCGTCGCCGGTGATTCGCGACATTCGTCGGCGGAAATTTTCCCGCTGCACCTTCCCGTCACTTTCGACGGTAATTTATCTGGTAAGCGCATCGTCCGCGCTATAACCTAACGCTCGCTTTCCTCCTCGTCGGGCCGCCGCCCGTCGCCCTGCAGCTTCTCGTCGGGCTGCCGCCCGTCGCCCTGCAGCTTCTCGTCGGGCCGCCGCCCGTCGCCTCGCAGCTTCACGTCGGGCCGCCGCCCGTCGCCCCGCAGCTTCTCGTCGGGCCGCCGCCCGTCGCCCTGCAGCTTCTCGTCGGGCCGCCGCCCGTCGCCTCGCAGCTTCACGTCGGGCCGCCGCCCGTCGCCTCGCAGCTTCTCGTCGGGCTGCCGCCCGTCGCCCTGCAGCTTCTCGTCGGGCCGCCGCCCGTCGCCCCGCAGCTTCACGTCGGGCTGCCGCCCGTCGCCCCGCATCTGCACTCCTACCCCTTCCCCCTTCCCGCAGCTGAACAGGTGCAGCAGCGCAGCCGAGCAGCCGTGTAGCCGCGAAGCAGAGCAGCCGTGTAGCCGCGAAGCCGAGGGTGGTGTGTGGGGGGATGTGTGGGATTAGTGATAGATCTACGGAAATCGGCCGATTCGACCTAATTTTGGCGGCCTGAAAAGGAAAAAAAAAAAAAACCTTCTACGTGACATTCCGACGCGGCCGACATTGACGATTTTCGCTATTCCGGTCCGTCGGATTTCGGAAGTTCCTATCGGTGACTTAAGAGCGGCGCTCCGCGCGAGAAGGGGTCTCCACCATGGCTCTCTCGTCTTCCACCATGGCGAACCCCATCACCCCGCTCCGCCTTGAAGCTGATGGCTCTAGCTCCAACTTCAAGGCGTGGAGCTACGGAGTTGACAAGCACCTCCTGAGCCGTGACGTGCAGGGCCTTGACCTCAAGGACGTCCTCCTCAACCGTGGCAAGGGGAAACAGCCTACTATTCCCCGTTAGCCGGCCGAATCTCCAAGTGATACTGACGTGAGGGCGTACGAGGAGGCTGTTGAGAAGTACCGGAAATGGGAGAAGGCCGATGCTGCCATCAT